ACTTTTTGCATTATTGAATAGGTTTTCAAGACTACCAGTGAATCAACACTCCCAACAGAGAACGTGATATGGAAAACGCACGAGCTTGGGTGAAATTCGCATCTGCCCTATGACCCAAGGACACTCGTGGCAATGTGGCGTAGTGGCTAACGTGTCGAGATTACACGATGAATTTTCATGGGTCCAGTCCCGCTGTTGGTGTTGATAATACCTAGGCGAGATCGATTCTGCCGTCTACCCTGGATAAGAACACCTTTTAGGAAAGCAGGGCTATGTGAAATGCAATGGCGACGTCAGCTCTACCCACAGCATTGTGGAAAAGTTAGGCTACCAGTCCTTCGTCACCCCAAACGAAATAGGGTGAACACAAATCATATATATGATTTATTAGTAGTCGCGAAAAAAGTCCTTAATCATGTAGCTTAATGGAAGTTTAATCATATTTCTGCTCTAATCTTGGTGATTTTAGAATAACGCTGAAGAGTGAGAAAGAAAATACAGCTGTTTCAGTCATTAATGATTTATTAGAGCTGATGAAATAGGTACAGTTTTCAACCTTTCAAAAACAAGAGAAATCATGTGTCTGAATATGAAGCCGCGATTCGTAGTGTAAACAACTTAAAGGACTATCTGGGGAATGATAGATTCTGAGTTAGAGTGGCCATGTTTACTGAGGAAACGGCCATTCAGACGTCTGCTCTAGACTGCCTTTTACTCTTTAACATTTGGGTGGAATTGAAGTATAATGAAGAACCTAGTCACACTGTGTCGTGTAAAATGGTTTAGCTAATAATAGTAGAGTTTCTCATAATATGATTTGGCCAAACGAAGCCTTACCTTATACAAAGTTTTCTCATCAAAAGAGGACCACAATTACGACCTTACCTACGTCTTATCGCACCGAAAGTGTTAATGAGGCCAACACCCAACGGCGTGACACATTTGCTGAACTATTATTAAAAAAGATTCGGATGAGGATGTGCCGGGGACTTCTACTACCAAATGAAAAGTCCCAACTCCAACGAATTCTTTCTTTTGCTTACACTGAGGTCAAACTATGAAAATCCGTATTCAACTTTTAATACCAAATGAAAAATGTTAAAGGCCTAAAAATATATATATATATATATTTACTTCATCGTATGCAGAGAAAATAACTACCAACATTCCACCCTTAAATCTGAAGAGCTCTTGTAAACTACGGACAAAAGTTAAGTAAGCAATCGGAGGAATATATGCTAGGCTCAACGACTATGCAAACAGGATATAAATGCTAATTTTTAGATTTCTCTCAACAAACCTTGAGGCTTATTATTCTCACAGAGAATGAAAACAAAATAAAATTCGTAAAAACCAGATCCTGAACAAACTATGTTCGGAAAATTTCTCAGTTGCGTTATCCAGGAATAATTCCAACATTCCGTTGTCATAGCAAGTAAAATAGGCAAATAAGGAGTCTAAAGACATCAACTCAAAGAATCTACATATTTATCATATTT